CAGGGGACGATAAAAAGGAGGCGTGTCACAGTGGACAACAGGAGGAAGAAGAAAGGGGCGTGGTCACAGTGAACAACAGAGAGATGAAAAGGAGGCGTGGTCACAGTGAAAAACAGGAGGAGATAAAAAGGGCATGTCACAGTGAACAACAGGAGGAGATGAAAAGGGGGCGTGGTCACAGTGAACAACAGGAGGAGATAAAAAGGAGGCGAGGTCACAGTGAACAACAGGAGGAGATAAAAAAGGGGGCGTGGTCACAGTGAACAACAGGAGGAGATAAAAAGGAGGCGTGGTCACAGTGAACAACAGGAGGAGATAAAAAGGGGGCGTGGTCACAGTGAACAACAGGAGGAGATGAAAAGGGGGCGTGGTCACAGTGAACAACAGGAGGAGATAAAAAGGAGGCGTGGTCACAGTGAACAACAGGGGATGATGAAAAGGAGGCGTGGTCACAGTGAACAACAGGAGGAGATAAAAAGGAGGCGTGGTCACAGTGAACAACAGGAGGAGATAAAAAGGAGGCGTGGTCACAGTGAACAACAGGAGGAGATGAAAAGGGGGCGTGGTCACAGTGAACAACAGGAGGAGATGAAAAGGGGGCGTGGTCACCTTTAAGTGATGCGATCATACGGGGACACCTCTGCTGCAGGAAGCTCTTCAGCTGGTCCCAGGATCTCCTCAGGACCGGGTAGTACTGCAGGTACCGACCCAGGTCTCTGTAGTACTGTTTGAATAGACAGTACCAGGACAGACCGCTCTGCAGCCGGTCAGCACTGAACACACACACACACACACACACACACGACACACAGGTTATATATATGGGGGGGGGGGGGGGTCTGATCTTGAACATGTTGTTTGACTCACTCTGAGAGCAGCCAGTGTTTAGAGCAGAGAAGCTTCCACAGAGGATTGTGTTTGGAGAGTTCATTCAACCTCCTGCTGACGAAGCTGCAGCTACACACACAGAGAGAGACACACAGAGACACACACACAGAGACACACAGAGACACACAGAGACACACACAGAGAGAGAAACACACAGAGACACACACACAGAGACACACACAGAGACACACAGAGACACACAGAGACACACACAGAGAGACACACACAGAGACACACACACAGAGACACACAGAGACACACACAGAGACACACACACACAGAGAGACACACACAGAGACACACACACAGAGACACACAGAGACACACACAGAGACACACAGAGAGAGACACACACACAGAGACACACACAGAGAGAGAGACACACAGAGACACACACACAGAGACACACACAGACACACAGAGACACACAGAGACACACACAGAGACACACAGAGAGAGACACACACACAGAGACACACACAGAGAGAGAGACACACAGAGACACACACACAGAGACACACACAGAGACACACAGAGACACACACACACAGAGACACACAGAGACACACACAGAGAGACACACACAGAGACACACACACAGAGACACACACACACAGAGAGACACACAGAGACACACACACAGAGAGACACACACACACAGAGAGACACACAGAGACACACAGAGACACACACACACACAGAGACACACACAGAGACACACACACACAGAGAGACACACACACACAGAGAGACACACAGAGACACACACACACAGAGAGACACACAGAGACACACAGAGACACACAGAGAGACACACACAGAGACACACAGAGAGACACACAGAGACACACACAGAGACACACAGAGAGACACACAGAGACACACACAGAGACACACACAGAGACACACAGAGAGACACACAGAGACACACACAGAGACACACAGAGAGACACACACAGAGACACACACAGAGACACACAGAGAGACACACAGAGACACACAGAGACACACAGAGACACACACAGAGACACACACAGAGACACACAGAGAGACACACATAATAATAATATGATAAACTTTGTATTTGTTGATATAAACTTCAGATCAGTTTTTCCTCTAAAAACTTCAAACTAAGAACATAAAGTAGTTTTGTTGTTGTTGTTGTTGTTGTTGTTTAATGTCAGAGTCATGTCACAATAACAACAAACATCAGAGCACCTTATGAGTGTGTGCTGAACAGACTCAGTAACAGAAGGTTGGAGAAGGGGTCTCCCTGGGACAGGTTCAGGGGGGATGACGTGTCCAAATCATTTTCAGTCTCATCCCTGATTGGATCAACATTCAGATGTCTTCCTGGTTTTAATCTTGTCTGCTGTGAGGAGCTCTGATCATTTTGATGTATTTATCTCTTTTATTTCTATTGATTGTTTTCCTGCTGCTGGAGTTTATGTTCACTGTACTGAAGTCTGGATCTGTACTGAAGTCTGGATCTGTACTGAAGTCTGGATCTGTGTACTGAAGTCTGGATCTGTGTACTGAAGTCTGGATCTGTGTACTGAAGTCTGGATCTGTGTACTGAAGTCTGGATCTGTACTGAAGTCTGGATCTGTGTACTGAAGTCTGGATCTGTACTGAAGTCTGGATCTGTACTGAAGTCTGGATCTGTACTGAAGTCTGGATCTGTGTACTGAAGTCTGGATCTGTACTGAAGTCTGGATCTGTGTACTGAAGTCTGGATCTGTGTACTGAAGTCTGGATCTGTACTGAAGTCTGGATCTGTACTGAAGTCTGGATCTGTGTACTGAAGTCTGGATCTGTGTACTGAAGTCTGGATCTGTGTACTGAAGTCTGGATCTGTGTACTGAAGTCTGGATCTGTGTACTGAAGTCTGGATCTGTGTACTGAAGTCTGGATCTGTACTGAAGTCTGGATCTGTACTGAAGTCTGGATCTGTGTACTGAAGTCTGGATCTGTGTACTGAAGTCTGGATCTGTACTGAAGTCTGGATCTGTGGACTGAAGTCTGGATCTGTGTACTGAAGTCTGGATCTGTGGACTGAAGTCTGGATCTGTGGACTGAAGTCTGGATCTGTGGACTGAAGTCTGGATCTGTACTGAAGTCTGGATCTGTACTGAAGTCTGGATCTGTACTGAAGTCTGGATCTGTGTACTGAAGTCTGGATCTGTACTTAAGTCTGGATCTGTACTGAAGTCTGGATCTGTACTGAAGTCTGGATCTGTGTACTGAAGTCTGGATCTGTACTGAAGTCTGGATCTGTACTGAAGTCTGGATCTGTACTGAAGTCTGGATCTGTACTGAAGTCTGGATCTGTACTGAAGTCTGGATCTGTACTGAAGTCTGGATCTGTGTACTGAAGTCTGGATCTGTGTACTGAAGTCTGGATCTGTACTGAAGTCTGGATCTGTACTGAAGTCTGGATCTGTACTGAAGTCTGGATCTGTACTGAAGTCTGCCCTCATGTTTAGGGTCAGGCTGTTATATCCCTGAAACCTAAATGTGTTAATGCCTTTAAAAAGTTCAATAAAAACATTTCAAAAAAAAGAATCTCAGAGATAAATACAACTTTAATATTTGATTAAAAGATTTAAAAAGCTATAAAAGATAAGAGATATAAAATATATAATAGATATAAAAGATAAATCCTCTGTAAATAAACCGCAATCAGCTGTTAGCACGAAGCTAAGCTAACGGCTAGCTGAGTGCTACATGACAGCTTCCGGTCAGCTGAGCTTTAATTAATGAGTTTACATATTTCATTATTAAGTGTTTAAATGTGTTTAAATAAGAAATAAAGTGAAGATAAAATAAAGAGACAGCTGGAGCTTCAGAATGATTTATAATCACTTTAACTAATTATCTTTATTTAATATATAATATCTTTATAGTTTTTAACGTTTTGTCTGTTTGTCAGAAGCTAATCTCTGTTCTTCATGTTTTTAGCCGCCTGTTAGCTTAGCTTAGCTTAGCGTTAGCCTGCTGCGGGTTGTTGTTGTTTTTATTAATTAAAACTAAATTCTGTTTCCGGTCAGTCCCGCAGAGTGTGCAGGCTGACAGGTCTGCGGGGTCGGGTACGTACTGGATCAGGTCTCTGAAGCTCAGGAAGGATAAGACGTGCAGCAGCGGGTCTGAAGGCAGCAGGTCCATCCGGAACTCTGAGGGAGCCGCCATTGTTAGCAACACTTCTTCTTCTTCTTCTTCTTCTTCTAATGGTGACCGCGACCAGCTGGAGCTCTACCGCCCCCTGCCGACACGGTGGTCCTCCTCTGTTCTCATACTGTGGTCAGTTAGGTGTAGACAGGTGAAGACTTCTTTAAAGGACCAGTGAGAGGATGAAGGTATCTTACTCTCTGATCATCAAGGAAACATGTTGAAGTGCTGGTTGCTATGACAACAACACAGCAGCCACTATGTCCTCCTTCTAACTTTAGATTCAGGTGTGTGTGTGTGTGTGTGTGTCACTGATGATGGTCCTCTGACATCTTTCTAAACAGATCATGGTCATGTGGTCATTGCACTGTCACCATGACAACCGGGATGTCCAAAAAAGGTCGTGTACTGTACTGTTCACCTGCTGCTCTGCACAGAACTTCTCTGAGTCAAAGTAAACAAAGAGAGGATCCACATCCAACATGTCCGACTCATCAATCACACTTGACCCCACGTTCAACAGTCAAGCTCCCCACACACACACACACACACACACACACACACACACACACACACAGAGAGAGAGAGAGACACACAGCACAGACCGAGTACTGCTGCAGTCTGCTGGATCTGCTCCTGAAGATTCTGAGGGTTCTGAGGGTTCTGGAGGATCTGGATCATGGTTCTGAAACGAGCTGCTGTTCTCCTGCTGCTCCTGCTGCACGGCTGCCTGAGCCAACACGGTACACACTCACAGAACGAGAGAGAGAGAGAGGTGTTCATGATGTTAGGAGAATGTTTAATGTTCAGACTAAAGAAGTTTAGAGACAGAAATATAGAACTAAGTGAGGCGTCCAGGTTCTACATGGATCCAGACTTCACTGCAGGGTGGACTCTAGAACCCTCTTTGACTCTGGTTCTTGTTTGTAATGGACAGAAACAGTTTGGACCATGCAGCAGATTGTTGATGGATTCATTCCTCTCTTCTGATGACATAGATGTGTTTATGTAAAGCTTTGATCGATTATTAAAACTTCAGAGATGTTTTTGAAACTTGAGGTGAAGTAACGGATCAAACGTCTTCTCTCTGTTGTAGACTTTAACGAGTCACTAAAGGTTCTTAATATCTCTGTGTGGTCTTTCTTTAGTGTTGATTTAAAGGTCACAGATCGTCATGTTCATGAACTGTATACATGTTGAACTTTGTGTGTGTGTGTGTGTGTGAAGTCTTCCTCAGCGGTCACACGGCCTCGCAGGTGTTGAAGAGGAGCCGTCGAGCCAATCAGCTGTTTGAGGAGGTGAAACCAGGTAACAGAGAGTTTAAGATGGTTTATCATCTCAATCTTTACTTTCTTGTCTTCTTCAGCATGATGTTCTTTTAGTCAGTTATGGTCCAATCAGAGTCAGAGACCAGGAATAAGGGGGGGGGGGGGGGGGGGGGGCGGGCTATCTGAGAAGTGTAACCATAGCGACCTGAACACTGTCTTGTTCAGTTTGATATAAAGACACCCTGAGGAGTCACCTTGACCGCTATAACTCCTTGTAGCTCTCAAGCTCCACCCCCTTGTCCAAATATGGTCACTTCTGGGTCAAGAAGACAAAGATGGAAGTCCTGAGCAGGAGTATGTGTTTTAATAAAAGTGTTGTTTCTCTTGAGGCAACCTGGAGAGAGAGTGTGTGGAGGAAATTTGTGACCATGAAGAAGCTCGAGAGGTGTTTGAAAACGTGCTTAAAACGGTACAACGCCTTCTTACTGTCGTCCAATCACAGCACAGATGTGAACAGTACTTTATGACACTAACCCTGAACCTCTGCTCGTCCTCAGGGCGTCTTCTGGGATACATATCTGGGTGAGTTCTGCACACTGACAGAAGCTCTCATTTCTTTTTAAGTTCCAGTTCAGTGGACACAAGTTCCAAATGTTATCTGTGAAGTTTATTCAAGATGAACAAACAAGAACAAAGTCCAGAACAGAACACACAACCAGAGTACACAAACATCTACCTGTCTGTCTGACTACCTGTCTGTCTGTCTGTGTGTCTAACTGTCTGTCTGATCACCTTTCTGTCTGTCTGCCTGCCTGCCTGTCTGTCTCTCAGATTGTAAAGGAACTCAGCTGTCCAGGACTCAGGATAACATTGAAATAGTCCGTCAGTGTATAGAAGGTAAACAAACACAAAGCTAGCATGAATTAAATCCATCTACTAAACCAATGTATATATAACTGTGTGTGTGTGTGTGTGTGTGTGTGTGTGTGTGTGTGTGTGTGTGTGTGTGTGTTCAGGTCAGTGTATTTCAGGTTTAGGAGTAAACTATCAAGGAAACATCAACATCACAACATCAGGGAGGCAATGTCAGAACTGGAGGCACATCTTCCCACATCCCATAATCAGGTAACTAGCTAACCGACTTGTTAGCAAACCAACCAACCAACTCATTAGCTAACCAACCAACTAACCAACCAACCAACTAACCAACCAACTCATTAGCTAACCAACCAACTAACCAACCAACCAACTCATTAGCCAACCAACTAACCAACCAACCAACCAACTCATTAGCTAACCAACCAACTAACCAACCAACCAACTCATTAGCCAACCAACTAACCAACCAACTAACCAACCAACCAACTAACCAACCAACTAACCAACCAACTCATTAGCTAACCAACCAACTAACCAACCAACCAACTCATTAGCCAACCAACTAACCAACCAACCAACCAACTCATTAGCTAACCAACCAACTAACCAACCAACCAACTCATTAGCTAACCAACCAACTAACCAACCAACCAACCAACTCATTAGCTAACCAACCAACTAACCAACCAACCAACTCATTAGCCAACCAACTAACCAACCAACTAACCAACTCATTAGCTAACCAACCAACTAACCAACTAACCAACCAACTCATTAGCTAACCAACCAACTAACCAACCAACCAACTCATTAGCTAACCAACCAACCAACTAACCAACCAACTCATTAGCTAACCAACCAACTAACCAACCAACCAACTCATTAGCCAACCAACTAACCAACCAACCAACCAACTCATTAGCTAACCAACCAACTAACCAACCAACCAACTCATTAGCCAACCAACTAACCAACCAACTAACCAACCAACCAACTAACCAACCAACTAACCAACCAACTCATTAGCTAACCAACCAACTAACCAACCAACCAACTCATTAGCCAACCAACTAACCAACCAACCAACCAACTCATTAGCTAACCAACCAACTAACCAACCAACCAACTCATTAGCTAACCAACCAACTAACCAACCAACCAACCAACTCATTAGCTAACCAACCAACTAACCAACCAACCAACTCATTAGCCAACCAACTAACCAACCAACTAACCAACTCATTAGCTAACCAACCAACTAACCAACCAACCAACTAACCAACCAACCAACTAACCAACCAACCAACCAACTAACCAACCAACTCATTAGCTAACCAACCAACCAACTAACCAACCAACCAACCAACTAGCCAACCAACCAACTAACCAACCAACCAACTAACAAACCAACTCATTAGCTAACCAACCAACTAACCAACCAACCAACTAACCAACCAACCAACTCATTAGCTAACCAACCAACTAACTAACCAACCAACCAACCAACCAACCAACTAACCAACCAACCAACTCATTAGCTAACCAACCAACTAACCAACCAACCAACTAACCAACCAACCAACTAACCAACCAACCAACTCATTAGCTAACCAACTAACTAACCAACCAACCAACTAACCAACCAACCAACTAACCAACCAACCAACTAACCAACCAACCAACTCATTAGCTAACCAACTAACTAACCAACCAACCAACTAACCAACCAACCAACTCATTAGCTAACCAACCAACTAACCAACCAACCAACTAACCAACCAACCAACTAACCAACCAACCAACTCATTAGCTAACCAACTAACTAACCAACCAACCAACTAACCAACCAACCAACTAATTAGCTAACCAACCAACCAACCAACTCATTAGCTAACCAACCAACTAACCAACCAACCAACTCATTAGCTAACCAACCAACCAACCAACCAACTAACTAACTCATTAGCTAACCAACCAACCAACCAACCAACCAACGCATTAGCTAACCAACCAACCAACTCATTAGCTAACCAACCAACTAACCAACCAACCAACTCATTAGCTAACCAACCAACTAACCAACCAACCAACTCATTAGCTAACCAACCAACGCATTAGCTAACCAACCAACCAACCAACCAACTCATTAGCTAACCAACCAACCAACCAACTCATTAGCTAACCAACCAACTAACCAACTCATTAGCTAACCAACCAACCAACCAACTTGTTAGCTAACCAACCAACCAACCAACCAACCAACTTGTTAGCTAACCAACCAACCAACCAACCAACCAACTTGTTAGCTAACCAACCAACCAACCAACCAACCAACTTGTTAGCTAACCAACCAACCAACCAACCAACCAACTTGTTAGCTAACCAACCAACCAACCAACCAACTTGTTAGCTAACCAACCTAACTAGCTGAAGAACATGATATGTAGACTGATGGAGTAAATATGAAACCAGCAGACGGACTCTTAACACTCATAAGAGCACGAGGTAGACTGTGGATTCATCAGCTGACTCTCTGCTCTCCGGTCTGTCTGTAGGGAGTTTAATGCTTCAGAGTTACCTGACCTCCAGGAGAACTTCTGCAGGAACCCTGATAAACGTCCTGATGGACCCTGGTGCTTCACCACAGACCCCACCACTCAGAAAGAGTTCTGCAGGGTCCCAAAGTGTGGCAAGTATCAGAAAGTTATCCTAACCCAATACTAGAACTAATGATGAGGATCCCGCAGGATCCAGCAGGATCCCGCAGGAGCCCGCAGGATCCCTTACCAAACTCTCTTCTATCCTTCCAAGGTGAGAACTTTGTCCCGGCCACTGTGGTCCCTAAAACAATCAAAACAACTGGCCCCTGCATTCCTCATAATGGCATTGACTACACTGGCAACCTGGCTGTTA